ACATTCATCAAAAAAAGCTAATGGTTTGATATCGATCCAGGTCTATGAAAGAGAAATCAAAAAGCTAATGGTGTCTGTTGGGTGGTCCAGCACTGGTATCATCTACTACAGTTTCATGAAATCTGGTCAATCGATTACAGCAGATGACTGCAGCAACCAATTTGAATTAAAGGATGAGGATGCTCGTGATGCAGCAGCCAAGACTGGTGAACAGAGACAAGCCGATCCTCTTGCAAGACAACACTTGACCACATATCACACGAACAACGCTGCTCAAACTACAGAGGCTGGACTTGGAAACTCTCCGTCATCCACCATAGTCACCAGACCTCGCACCAACTGACTACCACCTCTCCCAGGCTTTGGACCACTTCTTGCAAGGAAAATTAATTCAGTTCTCGATTCAGCTGTGGAAAAACACCTTTTTGCAAGTTCATCACCACTCACTCTCCAAGGCTTCTCAGCGGTTGGCATAAACAAGCTACCATTGAGATGGCAGAACTTTGTCCATAGTTTAGATGCATACTTAGATTAACTGTACTGATTCTTGTTTGAAATATAATAAGCTAAACTTCTTGATTTGAAATCGGACATTTCATATTTAATGACCTAATAAAAGCAAGAAATAAGCATTGACGAGGGGATATGGAGAAATTAGAAGCTTCATACACTATTGGTGGGAATGTAAAATGGAACCAACCACTATGGAAAACAATTTGGCAATTAGAAACTAAACAAAAAGCTAAACATGTCATTATTATCTGGTCCAGAAATTTCACTCCCAGGTATATACCTAAAGGAACTGAAAACAGGGACTTAAACAGACATTTATATGCCTATGTTGACAGCAGCATTATTCACAATAGCCAAAGGGTAGAAACAATATACATATCAAGTTTCCATTGAGAGATGAATAAACTGTATATACCCATACAATATTTTATTCAGCCATAAAACGGTATTACTTTCAGATAATGCCACAATATGGATGAACCTCAGAAACATGCTAAGAAAGCCAGAAACAAAAGGACAAATATTCTAATATTTGTATAGGCAAATGCATAGAGACAGACAGTAGATAAGAGACTACCAGGGACCACGCAAGGAAGAATGTGAGCGTATTTCTTAACGGTTACAGAGTTTCTGCTTGGGTTGATGAAAAAGTTTTAGAACTAGATAGTGATGATGATTGCACAAAACAGTGAAAGTAACTAATGCCACTGAACTGTACAATTAAATTCACTTAAATGGCAAATTCTAGAATATATTTTATCGTAACTTACAAAAATAATGTAAAATACTGCACTAATACACTTTAAACAGGAGAATCGTATGGTATGTGAATTATATCTCAGAAAAGCTATTAAAAAAAAAAACCACAGAACTTCAGGGTACACTGATAATTAGAGATCAATTAGATTAATTCGAGCAGAGTTTGGAGAGTAAAGCCAATTACTGCACCAGCTTAAGCGATGTTTAGCTGTGAAGGCAATTTGATGTGATGTACACATAGTTTGAGTGTATCAGACTTCTCTAGTTCTCACATAATAAATTATAAAAGAGTCTAAGATAAAATGAAGTCCAATAACAACTCATAACAAAATTACAAGAGGAAGGATATCAAACAAATGGCATGTAGACTGAAGAGTCTACAACCATTTAAAGTACTTTAGATGACCAATTTCTAAATACCAGTAAGACAATGACTGTTATGAAATTATTAATAATCAGGAATCATGCATAAGCCTGTTCATCTGAAAGTTAACACAAATCATTCTTATTTATTGAAACAAGATTTCCTCTGGAAGACAAAGGCAATTTTGAGGTTCTTACTGTTACTAGAAATAGCCAGAGATAGTTTATTCCCACATCTACTCAGAATCTTTACCCTCAGACCTGTGTTTCTTTTTAAAGTTTTCACAAATCAGGATTTTTCCTAAACCAAGTTAACTCTCAATATTGCTGGATGTGATTTAGCTTCCAAAATTATAAACAAACACTAAAAGTAATGCAATACTTTGGATTTTCAGTGCCTACTTCCAGAAGAACAGACATTAAAGAACTGCCAGGACAGAAATTAACAAATGTGTGCAAAAGGTGAAAAACAGGTCAGATATTTTGCTGTCAGGTTAAAGAATAGATGAGGTTTCTAATCATCTGGATTAATGGGATCTTAGAAAAACCTAAAGGGAAATCTGGGTTTGGGCTATTCTTTGCCTAATTTGGGAGGTTTTGCTATGAAAACAAAACTTACTGTTATGTACTTTAGGAGGTTTGAGTAATCCCTTTGCTACAAGTTCAGTGTTACAACTTAATTCGATCTGAGCATGTTTTTCCATAAAAATCATCGAACTGAAGCACAGTACAAAAATGGAAGAAAATAAGGGGCTTTAAAAAATCATTTTGGGAAAAGACTAATTATTAATACTAATTAGTAAACCAGACAGGCAACCAAGACACTGAAATAATAACAAGAAGAGAAGCTCCAAACATGGAGAAGTGGTTCAAAACACTGAAACTTACTGGACTGAGGCTTAAGTTTCTCAATAGTGGAATAAAACAAAACATTACAACATTGAACTCTCCCCTAAAGGAATGTGAGCAGAAACTTTTAAGGGAAGCCTGGACAGAGGACACGAGAGGAGAAAGTTTTGTAATAGCCATGAGCCCCTCCTATGTTTTTAACTCATCAATTAGAAAAGATGACCCTGCTGGGAGGCCGAGGCGGGCGGATTGCTCAAGGTCAGGAGTTCAAAACCAGCCTGAGCAAGAGCGAGACCCCGTCTCTACTATAAATAGAAATTAATTGACCAACTAATATATATATAGAAAAAAAATTAGCTGCGCATGCCTGTAGTCCCAGCTACTCGGGAGGCCGAGGCAGGAGGATCGCTTGAGCCCCGGAGTTTGAGGTTGCTGTGAGCTGGGCTGACGCCACGGCACTCACTCTAGCCTGGGCAACAAAGCGAGACTGTCTCAAAAAATAAAAATGGTTAGGGAAGAGGATATTACTTAAGGAAGGCTAGCTGCCAGTGAAAAGAAGAGAGAGCTGAACGTAAGGAGAAGAATAACCTAAAACGAGATCTCAAGACCAGAAAACACAGTGATGGGAGGCCAGTTAGCATGAGGGCGACCAAGCCTGAACACCCCTATGACTACATTATAGTAGGATCCACACCTGCTATTAGTAATGCTAACTCTTCAACAACCAAGAAAAACTGAAATTATGTTGGCTGCACTCTATGTAGCACGGCAAGCAAACACAGCTTGACTATTACCATCGAAACATTTTAAAAAAAAATCAACTTCAGTTATCTTAAAAAAAAAAAAAAAATCAAGCCAGAGCCTAAGGGAACATTGCCGGGTCAGATGACAAAGGTCACTATAAAAGCCTATTGTTCTTCAGACAGTGAGTCAGTCATCTCTGTACACACAGCAGATATGAAGTAAGGCAGGGAGAGCCCATTCTGTGAACGAGATTCCATGGCTGCTACTTCCTTTAAAGAACAATGAAAAGAACATGGCGAAAACTTCATCTAACATACCTTTTTAAAGGACCCAGTCTATTTTCACTAATATTTTTCTAATATTTTATTTAGAAAGATGCCCATCTGATTAAAAGAAAATACCGTGTGAATAGAATTTGTGGATTTATTCTTTGTGTGCATGGATTTGTAAGTTTACAATTTGGTTATATTGAAAAAATTTTGGTTTTATCTGTATACTACAAAAAGCATAGAATAACTTTTTATATCGAAACACTCAATTACATACACTGTGCTTCAGTGTATATACCACTGGTGCTCAATAAATTGCTTTACATGAGGTTCTATAATAGGAGAGGAACAGAGCCGAGCAGTTATTCTGTCCAAATCCAAATCCAGAAAAATTCTGGACTCTTTTGAATTCGTGGGATCCTAAGACGCTCCTACTACGTGCTTTGCGTGAAAAAACAACAATCAACCTGTTTCTTCAAGGTTGTGTCACAGTGACTCCCTTATACCAAGTAGACAGACTATATATAAAGGCTTTCCCTTGGGCCTCCAAGTGCTCGGAATGTGAGGTCTCTGCAAAAGTCTCGCACAGCACTCTTCACATGCTCTGCTCAGAGAAAACACCAGGAAGAGGCAATTTCAGGCAGAAGGGCTAGCAGTAAGTTCCCAGAGGGCTGTGTGAGTACCATTGTGTAGGCCATCAGTCAAGTGGCCACTTGCCTTTTTAGACGTCCCCCTGGAAAACACTCTGAGCCACTTTAATCAACACTTATTTACAGCCCCCTCGGCCAACCGCCTGGAGCACGATGGAACCAGACTTCATGCAGACTCCTTGTCTGAGGATCAGCCCTCAGCATCTGGAACTAAATTCTGCTGCCTCCCACCCTCCCTTAGGCTTAAGTTTGCTTAGGTCATTTTGTTTTTCAACAGACTAAAGGGGAGACATATTTACCAAAATCATGCACGAAAAAAAAATTACAATGGACTATAACACAGCAGATTAAAATGCAGAATGTCTTTTGGGAAAGCCTTACATGCAAATTTTAATCAACCAGCATAGATTTGTTTAGGAAAAAAAAAAGCTACACACCTAAAATGAAAATTTCATGAGATAAGAGAAGCCAAGATTTCAATCTATTCTTGGCTTAGCCTTTCATTGTATCATGATGGCCAAGCTATAACCTCTTGATCATCTGCCCTGGAGAAAGCAAGAACTGCTGGGTACTACCACGAGAGCTGACGGCGCTGAATTAAAACAAGACTCTCATTGTCAGATATTTTGAGTATTTCAGTAAAAGCTATCCAAGCAGCAAAATGTTATTTAGTCATTTGCACATCTGATCACACAATTCTTGGAAAAAGCTCTTTAGCAGGCTGATGGCTAGCTAGCTCCTCGTTAGACTGAGTGGTCATATTCTTTCCCTCCGATTTCCTGTCCAACGAGAGTCTGAGATTTCCCACCACCTTGGGAGGAACCCCCCTTATGATTCCATCGTCAATACTCACATTCAAGGCATTCTTCGCAGCTTCTGCTTCTGAGCGACTGTCAAAACTGACAAAGCCTACGGGCTGGGGAAAGAAAGAGAAATATGAAGGAAAAAAACAAAATCAAGGCACGTCTATTTTTCTGGGTCAAGGGTGACATCAAATTGAAGAGCTAGGGTAAGGAAATGACCACAGGCAATGCGGAGAAATAAGAAAAAGGGGTCCCCAAGAATCATGACTCACAGTGGGCTTAGCCAAATTTCTAACATGAATCAAAGGGATAGTGAGGGTATTTCTCCCAGGGCTGAGGATTTAGAGAATCATAATAAAAAAAAAAATAATCTAGAAGTGGCTGGAAGGTGAGCAGCAGTGAGCAAGGAAATAATAGAGGAAAACTGGGGTCGGAGGGGCTCTACTTTCCTACATCGAATTCACTGTACCTCAGTTTCTTCATCTTTTAAAATGGAAAGAGAACCGAGTCACCTTTGGGGACACTGTAAGTGCAAGGAATACAATGACACAACGAGAAAACCCCTGTACTCTCACTGCATGATCAAAATTACACAGTGAACAGTTTTCCATCTCAAATCTCAAGAAAAGGCTAAAAAATTCCTGCGTTCAGTTAGGCTTGTAAAACTCACAGTTCCAAGTAAATAGAGAGGGGGCAGAATCTCTCTGGACTCTGTGTCTTTCAGCCCTGAAAGTACCTACAACATAGCTTATTTCTGATGGACCAGAAGGATGAAAAGTGATTGGAGGGGTGAGTATGTCATGTGTTCAGTTTAAAAAAAAGGGGAGGGGAAAAGAAAGCTATAGCTAAAAAAAAATCTATAGCTAAAATCTCCAATGAGCTTGCAGGAACTATTAGAGTCACCGATTACCACCTCCATTTTGGACCTTCTATGCACCATTACAGGCTTGGGACTCTGCCTGTTCAGAGGTTTGAGAAACAGTGTGATTCTTCACCATCTGATATTCTTATCGATTTGTAAAAGTGTGCCTGTTTAACCTCATAAAAGGAAACAGAAAAGAACTGGGAATAAAAGTGAATTTGGATAATAAACCATCATTTCCTCTGAATATACAAATCGATCTCAACATCCTATGCTGGGTGCAATGTGTTTGCCATCCTCTGGGACAGTCCCAGAAATTCTAGCTGAAGACTACAGAATTATGAGTCATTTGCCTGTGCTAATTCCCAACTGATCACATCCTTAATTTTAAAGACACACAAAAACCCAAATCCTAATGGGAATGAAAAGAATGTTGAGCCCTAGTAACATTTCTGAAGAAAGTCAGAAAGTAATATTTTATTTGCAAGTTTGAGAATCTTACCTGCTTAGATGTGAGCTTTATAAGAGAACCCTCATAGCCCTGAAAAGAAAAAAGAACAAAGTTTAGCCAAAAAGGAGTACTAGGGAAAAAGGTTAAATCATAATACCACCTCGCTCAAGTAAAAATAAGTCATTAATAATTATCAACTATCTAGCTCTTCTCACAAATGCTTCCAAAGTAAATGGAAAAGCAAATTGCAAACCACATGTGCACGTGCACACTCAGGCCTGTTTGCATTCTTGGGACCTATAAAACATAAATCAAGCCCTCAAATTCATGCATTTATCTAATATTTTTTCACGAAATTAGGCAATGATAGAAAAATGGGTGTCTCTGTCAACAGCAGATCATTTTGTTTTCTTAATCTAGGTAAGAATAGGGATTTCATAGAACTAGGTTGAGGGAAGGAAGTTAATAAGAAGGTCAGGGCAAGTGTTGACTTGGTTACACATTTGCTATAGAATGAAACCAATAATACATTAAGAACAGGTGTAACTTACTGATCAAATTTTCGAGACCGCCAAAAGGTTAAGCAGGCAGTGATACTGAATTCTGTGGAGTTTGATGCTTATGTATTGAAGCAGCCAATTTCCATACTGATATTCCGATTGGGAACATCATGCAAAAATCCTGTTGGGTTTTTACTCCAGCTAAAAACTCATGCCCTCTCTTCGCCCCTCCCAGCTCCTCAGGACAAGGGTAATAAAATGTGTTTCTATCTGAAAATAATCCATAGCTGCTGGCTTGCACTGACGGATTACACCAGAGAAGAAAAAACACCACTTGACATGATTGACCACTACGCCTATCAGTGCAGAGACAGATTTGCAGACTAGGGTCAGCCTCCAGGGACTTTAATTAAAAGAAGGTTGTTGGGAATGTACCAGGGTCCTGACTCGAGCGTCTGGGATTTCCAGGCAGGAGGCTGAGATTAATTCATCCTCCCATCTCACCTGCAGAAAACTATGCTACCAATTAGCTCCTATACACATTTTAGCTCAAAGGCCTTGAGCCCTCACAGCCAGTGAGACCGTGATTCACAACCCTGCCTTTTTCTTTTTTTCTTGGTGCTCTTTTCTGAGAAACCTGGAGGTCTAAACACCCTGAAGGCCTCAGAGGCAAAGGACAAATGGATATTTCACTTGAGTAAAAACCCCACTGGCTGGGGACATTTTGTGTTCTCAAGTTCACAAACAGAGAAGCAATATAATAATTGTTCAGAACAGGGATGGCAGTGTCAGACTGCCTGGGTTGGAATCTGGTTCTGCCATTTATGATGTGTGTAGACTTGAGTCCAATTCATCCAGTTGTTCCCTTTTCCTCATTTGAAAACATGAGCCTAACACACTTTAACAAACCGTGACAATACTTAAATGAGATAATAATTCATCTAAGGGGCTTGCTGACTGGATCTTTCTCTCTATACATACAAAAACCTAACAGTATTTTGCCCAGGAGCTTAACCAGGGGTCCTCAAACTTTTTAAACAGGGTGCCAAATTCACTGTCCCTCAAACCGCTGGAGGGCCGGACTATAGTTTAATCCTTTGCACTCGGATATCGAGTGTGACTCGACATGGTTAGAGAGATTAAAATTACTCTTTGAATGTATCAATAATTTGAAATACAAAAAAAAAATCCAAATAAATAAGTTTGTATGAAAAGAAACTCCAGTTTTTTATTCTACTGCTGCACATCGAAAAATTTGGGGTATTTCAAAAAAATTAAATCCCGAGTAGAATAAAGGAATTGAGAAAAAAGCAAGCAAGTGCAAAGGGTTAAAAAAAACTACGAACAATTCCTATGCACACTGTACATATCTTATTTTGAAGTAAAAAAAAAAATGGGCAAAAACACCTGCATGTGGTCTGTGGGCCGTAGTTGGAGGACGCCTGGCTTAAAAACACTTCTCATCCTATAAAAGGGACAGAAAACTGTCCCCTTTGTAAAACTGCAACCCAGCAGAAGAAAGTCAGGAAATTCTATAAAACCTGGCACTCTCTCCCCCCAACACCTTCTCTTCCTTTCCCACTTCCTCTTAGCTGAGCTTGCACCTGCTAACCTCTGGTTCGCTCTGAGCTGCGATTATTATTGTTGCAATCAGGGGGATGGTTGTCAGATGGAATTATGTCCATTGTTACATGGCACATAAGCTAGACCGTTTTATTTTGGTTGGTTGTATCTGGCTGCCTCCTCAATCCTCCTGTTCTCTAACCCAAGTGTTTTCAACTGTCATGTCCTAGTCCCTTCTCCCAAAGAAGCTGAAGCCTGGCCTCTCAATCTGTCCTGGCTACCTCTCAGGCTGGATCCTGCCTCAATGAGGATGGAACTATAACTAGTAATCAAGACTGCCTATCACCTCATCCTAAGCATGGCCCCTACTGGACACACATCCACAATGACCACCAGACTTCCTCCACACTGGCGCTGCATTCATTATGCCTTCCAAGCCCACATTCTGATCCATTCCAGCTCTCTCCCATGCTACACCAAGGCCAACCTTCAAGGTTTCTTCTTTGCAGCATGGTATTCCAGCGTTAGTCCAGTTTCCTGGTTAAGTTATCAATCCTAGCAACATTAAATATCTCTAAAGTGATCGTATTTCCATAATCAGGAAGAACAGGCAACCACATTGAACATTTCACTAAATACCAGGAAATTAATGCCCTCGACTCCATACCAAGCTATTCTTTTTTTTTCTTTTCTCTTTAAATTTTATATTTTTTCACTTCTTTTTTTTTTTTTTCCTCTATTTTTCACCCTACAAGAACGTTGACTAACCAAGCTATTCTTAAAATTTTTGTTTTACTTTGTTTGAAACTAAGGACACTTCTGCTATGGAAAAAATTATGGTGGTTGGGTTCATAAAAGCCTATTTATGTCTCCAGGGGACAGTATCAACAGCACTATTTCAACTAACAAGGAAACCTTGACTTACACTGTTGCATTTGAAATATGAATATATAATAAATAACCTAGAACTTTTCGGTGATCTGTGCTCAGAAGTGAACCCCCAATTGGAATAGGAGAAACAGGAAGGACACCAAGGCTGTTCTACGTGAACTAGAGACAGACAACAGGGGACAGCTCCAAGTCCCCATCATCTAGATCAGCCGTTGGAAGCATGAAGGCGGTTTCAGTCTATTACCCTAAGTGGGACTGTACACTACAACTCAGCTGTTAAAACTCTCCTTTACTTATTAATTTTTTAAAAATATCATTTTACAAAGTGCTTTCTCAAATATTTTATTTCTGCCTCCATAAAACATATAGACTTTTTGTCTCCTCTTGTAATTTCTGGAAAGATGGAAAAAGTACCTTAAATGGCCTGAAAAGCAGATAGAGCTCCCGAGGTTTGATATCCAGAGGAAGACCACTGACAAACAGGGTCCGGACCTGGAAAAATAAATTTAAGAAATGATCAAAGATGTGGACGATCCATAGAATAGCTTCCACCTTAAATCTCAAAACACATAGTTCTTCAAATACTCCTTAAGTGACACCCAATTCATGCTCTTGCCATGACACAATGAATGCTCTAATATTAACATGCCATTAAGCCAACCCTTGAGTACTTGTATGTGGATTATTCAAAGTGAATTACATCTAGCTGATTTAAATTCCCTGACTTCCCCTTCCTAACTAGCCATTGCAAAGTTCTAAAAATGTGGGGGTTGGCCGGGCGAGGTAGCTCACACCTGCAATCCCAGCACTCTGGGAGGCTGAGGCTAGAGGATCGCTCAAGGTCAGGAGTTCAGAGACCAGCCTGAGCAAGAACGAGAACCCGTCTCTACTATAAATAGAAAGAAATTAATTGGCCAGTTAAAAATATATATATAGAGAGAGAGAAAAAATTAGCTGGGCATGGTGGCACATGCCTGTAGTCCCAGCTACTCTGGAGGCTGAGGCAGGAGAATCACTTGAGCCCAGGAGTTTGAGGTTGCTGTGAGCTAGGCTGACGCCACAGCACCCTAGCCCGGGCAAAAAGAGTGAGACTCTGTATCAAAAAAAAAAAAAAAAATCGCGGGGGTAGGGAGGTTCTATATAATTTAAATATTAGCTTACGGAAAAAAAACTGTCATGAGCACAGTACAACTGCCAATCCTCCGCCCTAACCATATAAGGTGCTTCAAAAATAAAATCAAAACAATTTTGGTTTTTTCCTGTCTTATCATTGCTTTCCTTACAGGCATTTATTGCAATGATGTTTTTATTTATTTCTTTTTCTTTCGTTTTGTGTTTTTGGTTTTTTTGAGACAGAGTCTCCCTTTGTCACCCTCGGTAAAATGCAGTGGCCTCATGGTAGCTCACTGCAACCTCAAACTCCTGGGCTCAAGGATGGGTAGTATTTTACCAGATAGAGCTTATAAAAAGGACAGGTAGGGGTGGGTAAGAATCACAGGCAGACAAAAGCATTAACCAAGACATCAAAATGAGGGACAGTACAATGTATTTAGGGGCAGGGGCAAGCCAAAACTAAACAGGGACCTTATTATGGTCAAACCACAGAAAACATCAAAAGCCACCAGCTCAGGAATTTGATCTCGATTCAATAGGCAAGGAGTAGCCCATTGAATGATCATGACATTTTCTATTCCTCTTTTTCACTACTCAGGCTGATGCAACATGATGGAGTTCCTCATTAGAAATCATGTTACAACTTAAAAAATTCACTGCTCAACTGTTGACCCTCAGTGAGAAATGGGGAGAATATTTCCTACAGTCCTAACACTTTCCACTGACTCTGGTTATACAGAAGCACAAATAAGCAAGCAAGGACCTTTCAAATTGTATTTTTATTTTAGATGGTTTTATAGATGCATAATCGATATATAAAATGCATAAAATCCTGAAAGTATACAATTTGAAAAGTTTTAACATTTGTATAACCTGTGAAACTATCAAGATAATTCATTGCTTCCAGAAATTTCCTCACACCCCTTTAAATCCTTCCTCCCATTCTCTCCATCCCCGGTAATCAATAATCTAATTTTAGTCTTTGTATATATTAGTATGTATGTTCTGAATATGTACCAAACAGAACCAGAGGGTATATATATCCTTTTTGTTCAGTTTCTTTACTTTAGCATAAAGTGAAATTCATTTTGAGATTCATCCATGTTGTTGAATGTATCAACAATCCATTCTTTTTTATTAATGAGTAGTATTCTGTTGTGCATACCACAGTTTGCTTATTCATTCTTATGCTTATAGACATTTAGGTTATTTCTGGTTTGGGGCTTTTACAAATACTCTTGACTATGAGTATTGACGTACGATTCTTTGCATGGATGTATACTTTCTTCTTGGATAAATACAAGTGGAATGGCTACATATGAAAGGCATATAAAAAAAGAAAAAATAAATAAAGAATGGTATATTCTTAAGTTTTTACAAAACGGCCCATCAATTCCTTGTTTCATGGTTCAGAACATGGTAAACGTTCCTGTGTGCACTTAAAACAATTGTATGCTGCTGTCCGGTGGAGTGGCCTAAAAATGTCAATTAGATCAAGCTTCTTGTTCCAGTTTTCTTTGTCTCCACCCCCAACCCCAATCTCTGCCACCAGATAAAGAAATTTCCTGGGCAAGTCTTTAGCAAGGCTGCTTAGGCTAAATTGCTGACAACTGTCAAAGGCACAAACTCTGAGGGAACCCTGCTATGCCCTGTACCCTCCCTGACACCCTCAACTCTCTTCCCATAGTCTTGAAAGTAAACACCACCTGTTCAACTTTGCTGTTCTCGCCAAGACAACCTGGGCAGAGGGAAATCCCATCTCACATTCATTCAGATTTTTTTTTTTCTTTTGAGATGGAGTCTGTCTCTAGCAACCTCAAACTCCTGGGCTCAAACAATCCTCCTGCCTCAGCCTCCCAAGTAGCTGAGACTACAGGCACTTGCCACCATGCCTGGCTAATTTTTCTATTTTTAGCAGAGTGGGGTCTCACACTTGCTCAAGCTAGTCTCCAACTCCTGACCTCAAGTGATCCCAAGGGCCTTGGCCTCCCAGAGTGCTGGGATTACAGGCGTTAGCCACCGTGCCCGCCAAGATTTTGTTGAGTGCCAATTATATCCCTGACACTGTGCCAGGTTGCTGACTGGATTATAGAGATTTCTATAGAAATAATGTAAGATTTTATGTTTAAATGTTGGTGTGCCATTTTTCCAGCAGTATAGCTCTGCTGTGGATAGATATCAATTAGGATTTGCGGAGTTAGACTATGAAACTACTATTTATAATATTGTCCTACAGAAAAGGGCTTTATAAATTTGCAAGGCAAACAATTCACAAACAAAATCACTAGAAATCTAGGGATTATTACCAAAAGATTACTTGATATAAATTAAGGTTCATCTATATCACATACTGTAGAATATTATACAGCCAATAAAAATGATGTTCGAAGAAAAGGCATATATAGCTCAATTTTGTTCTGTAAAACAGCCAATATATGTATGTATTTGTAGAGGGGGGGAAAAAACCTTATAGGATATGTACTCAAATGTTTATATTTAATACATACTTTAGCCCTGAGTGGTGGAATAATAAGTGATTTTAATATTTATTATTAGCTTATTTGTGTTTTCCATCTTTCTATAATAAGCAAGCATTAAATACTGAAAGTTTATTTTGTTAGGTTGAGAAATGCCCCAATTTATTACCACCCTTTCTTTACGACACTAGATATAAAGTCATTATCATTAAAATATCAATATAAATTGTGAAGTTTATAAGGAGCAAATTCTTTCTCATGTCAATATTCCAGAATGAGAAGGGAGAGATTCTTAACTTAGTGTTTCAACAGGAAACTGTTATACATTGGGGGGCGGGACAGGAAACCAAGCTCCTGTTAGGTCTAAGCTGGCCACTCCACCCACAGATGCCAAGAGGCGGGAAGCAGGTCTATTGTGTTCAAACTGGAGGCAACTAAGATGGCTGCCATTTCTTTTAAACATGGACAAGACTTAGACTTCCTAGAATCCGGTGAAGCCCACCATTGTCTCAGAAACCTGTCAGAATATCTCATTTCACTCACTGAAGAGTTATTCTCTCCTCAACTGGTAAAGGAGAAATAATTCTTGAATATTTTTACATTATGTATTTGATTCCAAGTAAAGGTCACTTACATCCTGGGGCATAATGTACTTGGAATTCGTTGTAGACCTCCTCAGACTAGGAACCTTCATGGAGGAAGTTTAAAAAAAATCATGGATAGGGTCTGGCGCCGTGGCTCACGCCTGTAATCTCCGCACTCTGGGAGGCCGAGGAGGGAGGACTGCTCGAGGTGAGGAGTTCAAAACCAGCCTGAGCTAGAGCAAAGACCCGTCTCTACTAAAAAGAGAAAAGAAATTAATTGGCCAACAAAAAATATATAGAAAAAGTTAGCCGGACATGGTGGCACATGCCTGTAGTCCCAGCTTCTTGGGAGGCTGAGGCAGGAGGATCGCTTGAGGCCAGGAGTTTGAGGTTGCTGTGAGCAAGGCTGACGCCACGGCACTCTAGCCCGGGCTACAGACTGAGACTCTGTCTCAAAAAAAAATAAAAAAGAATCATGGATAATGAATGGAAAAAATAGCTTCCTAGATATCTAATTCATGCTTTTCTCTGGTGACTGGGATCTATGATCATTAATTAAGGATATTTAAAAACATTTTAGTTGCTCTGCTCCTCTTACCACCACACTTTTCTTCTGGGCCATTAAAATGGCACTTCTGGGTTGTGGCTTTGCCAACTCTAACTGTACTGCCTGCAGGAAGCTTACTGTCGGGGAAGGAGAATGATTGTGTAAACCACTGACTGCCTGTGATGAACAGAATGCTTATTAGCTCATTCACAAAGTAACCAATGAAAACCTACAGAGTGAGAGATAAAAGTGTAAAAAGCATACAAATCCAGGATCAAATACTCATCAAAAAGTGTCCTCCCAGGGTAACAAATGATGTCAAATGAACTTGCAGCAGGTCAAATCAATATCTGGGGCAGCCCTTAATTCACCAGCAATGTCTATGGACACAGATGTACCTCGTGTGATGTCTTTAGCATCCAGATGTTTACTTTATTGAACACACAGGGAAACATGTTTCCTAGAAAAGTATACAACATGCCTCACACAGAAGGTCAGGAGATGAAGCTGTTGACAGCTCTGTCCCAAAGGGACTCTAACATACTTGTGGATGTACCTTCAACTTCCTTTTTACCTTTCATTTTTCCATGAAAGAATAGATGCCGGTAGAAATCATCGTGTACTGGGCAAAAGAGGAAGAATGTTCTTGGCTCAGTCATTATCGAGCATTCCTGCAGAGTGGCCACGGTTAGATTGTGGGTAAAAATGGGCCGTGCGTTCTGAAATGGTACTGTCAGTTCCCACTGGGAAAGACAAGCAACATTTCACTGA